GCTCCTGGACACCCAAGACATTGGCGAAATTTGAAGTTCTGATAATACCACATGCTGAAAAACATGGGGGAGTAAGGACTAGAGCTCTGCGGGGGGCTCTGCTTCCCGTGGGAGGTCACGCCTGCAATTCCAGTCGCAGGTCTCCATCCCCGAGGACTGCCGCCCACAGCGACACCGAGATGCAGACAGACCTTCCCAGCGGAGGCCATGTGGCAGCGGGAGCAGCTGCCTTCCCTCGGCGGCGCAGGATGACCGGGGGGCCCGCAGGGAATGCTCCGCACCGTGTGTGTCAAATGAACACGGCCTGCACGTGTTAGCATCAAATCCAGACGAAAAACCTCCTGACCGACCTCCAGAAAATGCACTTACGTGCTAGTTACAAGAGGCCCACATAAAGCAGAACGCGAGGAGGCTGGGGAAAGTGGGACAAGAGCTGGAAAAGTGGCGCAGCAAATGCAAATGAAGAGAAAGCTGCTGCGCAATAGCCTTACGTGGTGAACTAAACTCAAGGAAAAAGCATTATTAGGGACTTCGAAACAAAACGTAACAAAGCTGTGCAGCCTCAAACCCACAGGCATTAAGAACATGCACGCACATTTAAAAAATAGACAGCTGATAGAAATAGGCAAATCCAGAATGAGCATGGTTGACTTTCATGTATTTTCAGCTATCTGTAACTGGTGTGGACCAAAAAGTATAGACATTTTTAATAACACACTTAACAAATGTGACCTAATATATAAATTGCGATATATGTGGCCACCACCAGAAAACACTATTTGAAACAACAGGACATATTCACAAAAATTGAACATATCTAATTGGTCACAAAGAAAATCTTAACAAATTACGAAAAGTAAAATACACCCCAAATTCACTGATCATAATGCAACAAAAACAGGAAAATAAAAGCCTACGTCTCTCAGGCGGGACTGAGGTGGGGGAAATTTTTGCCAAAATGGCATTCAGAGGAAACTTTATAATTTTAAATGAATTTGTTTGAAAATTAAAAACAACAAATAAAAATTATTTGGGGGGACGTTAGTATGATATAAAGAATTAAAACTTACAATGCAATGCACAAACCTTAAGTATTCCAGAAATCACTCACACCAGAATGGCCCGGGTTACACAGACTGGCCAGACCAAATGCGTGGGGAGGGGGCACTGCCCAGAACTCTGCTACCTGCCTTGGGAGCATGGAGGCCACAGCCACTGCAAGGGGAGGTCTGGTATTTCCCCAGCAGAAATGAAAATATATGTCTACAAAACACCTGTATGAGAAACCCACCACAGGTTATCCATGACAGCGGAAAGGTGCCGTCCCCTGGGAGCCCGCGCCAGGACGGGCGCACCAGCTAGAAGGCTGCTCGGGGGCAAGCAGCAGCAACCCTGAACCGTCTGGGAGGCAGGCCAGCAAAGGGGGCTGGCTTCCGTGGCTATGCGCTGCGGGGCTTCATTCCTATCGAGTTCTAGGACACACAAAGCTGGTCCACGCAGAAAAGACAGAAGAGCAGTTGGCGGGGCGTAGGGGAGTGGACTGGGAGGTCGCCCGACGTCACTTCCTGGAGTGTCGGGAGTGCTCTGTGCCTGGTAGGGATTTGGATCGCAGAGGTTTTTGCATCTGTTGGCCTTGTTGATAGAATACTTAAGATCTGTGCGTTTTACTGTACGTAGGTTAACTCAAAAATGAAACAGGAATGCACAGATATTGAACTCGCTAATGATTTCCATGCTGAAAAATGTCAGGATGAGTGTACAACGACCTGCAACTTGTGAAATGAATAAAAAAGTAGGACACATTGATGGGTGGAAATGGGTGGGGAGAGGCGATTAGCTGGCAGGGTGTAATTCATGTAAACAGTAGGGTCTAGTTGGTAGGTATACGGACTGGATGAAATTCTTTCTACTTTTCCTTATGTTTGAAATTTCTCGTAATAAATGTTAGGAAAAAAGGATATTTTAAAGCATGAATAAAGTGGTCCTTGACAATTCAATTAAATATTAATTTTTCCCAAATTTATCTAAAAATTCACTACTATTCCAATAAAAATACCATCAGAATACTTCAAGGAAATTAGGGTGTTCTCTAATAAGACACATGGAAACCTATATAATTGTTGACAAATGACACAAAATTTAAATTCCTATGTTATCAAGAAGTAGATAAATAATTACTAAAAATCACTAAGAGCATCCAGTGCGAGCTCAGCCCGGTGTCAGCCATTCCACCCGCTGGTCACATCGCGCCCTCTCTGTGGCTGCTGTCATCCTCGCCGGCCCCACCATGCTGTCCCTAGATTCCTTGGACGATGTGCGGCGGATGAACAAGCGGCGGGTGAGCTGTATTACCAAGTCCTAAATTTTGGAACGGCTGCCTCCTCAGCACTAATGATCTGGAAGGGGTGAGCGGTCTTAACTGGAAGTGAAAGTCCAAGTGCAGTGGTGCTCAGGGGCAGCAGGGAGCCTGCATTTCCTAGAAGAGATCTCTTCCTAACGAATCGAGTTGAAGGATCCCATACGAATGGGAGAAATTGTTGTTTTTAGAAAAGAAGGAAGAGAGATTCCTAGAGCTCACCGAGTCTTGAATATCCATGAAAAGCAAAGTGGACACATCAAGTTTTTGACCAAAGGAGACAATCATGCCGTTGATGATCGAGGCCTCTACAGACAAGGGCAGCACTGGCTAGAAAAAAGATGTCGTGGGGCGAGCAAGGGCATTGACAGTTCCCAGCGTGAAGATCATGGCGACAACCCGACCCCAGCTCTGAGTCAGCAGGTTGAATTAGAGCCACCAAATAGATGCCTAAGACTCAGATCCGGTACTGGTTCTGCCACAGAAGCCACGTGCCGCGGCCAGGAGCATCTGTTTCCTCATCTATAGAATGGGGGCCCTAACTTCCCTATCACAGGCTGTCGAAAGGATCTGATAGGACGATTTGTTCCTTACATTGGGATTGTGACGATCCTCGTGAGTGACTATCCTAAATCTCAGTACCCAGTGCTCCTCCTGCTGGGTTTATCTGTGCTGGTTCATTGTGAGTAAGAAGCTGCCTTGCTGCTCCCGGGAGGTGCCACCTCTGTTACTGATGTTTGCGGTAGATGTTGGTCTGTGACTGGTGGGGTGGAGCGCACGCCGGCCTTTCTTGGTAGCTCTGGTTTGCATTAGTTTATGTGTCCACCAGAGTCTATATGGGCGGGTGGATGGGCACCACTGCATGCTCCTCGGGGACTCAGTCACAGGATTTCATATGTTATCATTGTCACATTTTTGCATTTTTGTACATCAGTGAATTTTTTGTATGAAAAGGTTGAGAGAGAAAAAAAATCACTAAGAAATGATGTAAGGGCAACGGGCAAGGAGGACGGACAGACAGGTGACAAAGGGGAACCACGAGTGGCAGGAGACGTCCAAACCAAGCAGCCTCGGGTGGCAGTGGGGACAGGAAAGGGAATGAGGCAATCAGTACAGCTCTCCTCCTCAGAAGGGCCAAAGTTTGGACCTGGGGACCAGGCTGGGGTCAAGGAGGGACGGGTCCTCTCAGGTGTGGCAGGGAAGCAGCATGTGCATGCCCACGTGTGCCCCTCCATGCTCCGCTCTTCAGATCCCCTCAGAGAGACTGTCCGCCAGTCCTGGGACACAGGCAGGGAGGCCACGGAGCGTGTGGACAGCAGAAACTCTGGGCACGGTGGGAGCAGCCACGCACTCCGTGGCCGCAGAGACAGAAGGATACCAGGGAAACTTAAATGTACTGACTGTTAATTAAACATGTCAAGTAGAATATCATTTATGTGAAAAAGTGCGTAAAAGTGAGATGCTTTCCCTCTCTAGGTACTTATTTGCACTCAAAGCTGAGAAAGGCCCCACTCTGCACACCCAGGTGACCGTGGAGGGCCCAGGGCACAGGCCAGAGGGATGGGACAGTGTCAAGTGTCGCTTTACCAGAACTGCCTGAACTGTCTGCACAAATGTGTTGATTTAAAACGAGAAGAAAATAAGTGTAAAAATATTGAGTTTTTATGTAAAATTTAAGTATCTAAATATATTCGCTATTTAATAAATTGCATTATAATGTTATTTTTGTATACTCTAATATACAGCACTTGTTATATACTTATATAAATTAATGATATGAATATTAAAGAAAAGAGACGAATAACTCATTTGAAATGATACACCTTTTCTAAAGCCCCACAATGTTCCCTTAATGCAACTCCCTTTCTCCTCATGGGCATGAGTGACTAAGGAGGAACACTCACCATGGCTCCCCAGCCTGCCTGGGCAGGAGGCGCCTGCTGTGCGCCCACCCCAGAGCCAGCGCTTTATGCAGCACCCGGGGCATGGAGGGGCACACAGGGCCCAGCCAGCCACAGAACAGAGCTGAAGCTGTGGTTCTGATATGTCTGGGTGGGAAATGAGGAATCCAACGCCACTGCTCCCTCAGACACCAGCACTGAAGTCTCTTCTCAGCTCACGAGGAGACCGCCCGGTCCAGAGGGGGATCTTCCCACGGTGGGTGGGTGTGGGGGAAAGACTCTACCGGGAAACAGAGGCCTGAGTTCACGGCTCAGCAAAAACCCTGAGCCAGGCTCCGAACCTCAGTCTCCTCAAGGCTGAACTGGGCCTGGACCCCGCCTACGGCTGTGGGTGGTACTGGGATTTCAGGGAGAACTGCCTCCCGGGTTCCAAATGTGTTTGAACACCAGGCTGGGTCCCCGGCAACCTGGTCGTGTGCTGACACTTCTGCCAAGCGCTTGGAAGGTCACGAGAGATGAAATGAACTAGCAATACCTGTTTTTATGACATCGCTCCTGACACTGACTGGACAACATCACTGTTTTCCATGCCACAGCGAACGCACTGCCACCCTTGTGTGAAGTCCTGCCAAAGCCCAGCAAATTCAGCAAACACATGTGGCCGCTGGACTTAAAACCTGGATCCTTACATAACAGAAACCCTCAGAGGAGGAGAACATGGTTTGAGGAAATCAGGTACTTACTGAAAATTATGATTTGGGCTGTGTGTTGGACCTGAAAATAAAAAAAAACGGCATGTTATTAAAACGTCATGATTAGGAATCAAGCTTCTCTCCAGCCCAGCAGTGGCGCAGGTGGCCCCGGCCCAGGGCGCTCCGTGGTGGTGCGCGGCCCTCGGCCAGGCTCTGCCCCGCCCAGGATGCTGAGCCAGGAACGGAAGCCGCACACATGCAGCGGCACTCCCTGTCTGTGCAGAAACATGTGGGCATGTTTTGGGGGCTTTTGTTGTTGTTGTTAATCCTAACCCGAGGATTTTTTTCCACTGATTTTGAGAGAGAGTGGAAGGGGGGGAGAGAAACATCGATGTGAGAGAGACACTTCGATTGGCTGCCTCCTGCACGCGCCCTAACTGGGGCCAGGGATTGAACCTGAAACCGAGGTACGGGCCCTTGACCGGAAATTAAACCCGCGACACCTCAGTGTGCAGGCTGATTAACCACTGAGCCACACCAGGCAGGGTTTTTGGACATACTTTTGGAGTTTTTACTGTCTTTCTCTTTTTCTCTCCTCATCTAGCCCTGATTCACAGACCTATTTTCCTAATTGGTTGACAGAGTGGCTTGAGGTTAGTGTGACAGGCTGGGGCATGCCAGGGACCTTCTCAAAACGGGCATGAAAGGGGGCACACTCCTGCCGGCCATCAGCACAGAGTACAGAGCTGTCATCACGCTGGCTCTCGCCCCTCCTCTCGGCAGGCCAGGTGTCTGGGGCCTCAGGCTGTGTGGCAGCCTCCCGCAGGCTGACTTTGTGACCTGCGGCCTGCTGGGTAATCTCCCAGCTCCTCTTTGTGCCTGGGGTTACGTTCCGTGTCCGGCGTGTCCACCGTGTCCCTTTTCTTTTCTTACTAGTGAAAAGGGAGCAGGGTGAGCCAAGGCCTCGGGCACCACGGAGGCAGCGGGAACTAAGGCCTTATGGATTTCCTCTCTGCTGGCGAGTGTGCTCCGTTTCAAACCCAAACGACTCTGCCACCCAGGGCTGACGCTCCCTCGCCGCAGACTGACGGCCCCTCCCGTCCCCACTCACCAAGCCGCACGAACAGGACACCGGTGGCGGTGATGGTCTTCATCCCGTTGGTGGCCACGCACTGGTAGTAGCCGGTGTCTGTTGTGTCCAGGTCCTGGATGCGGAGCCGAGAGCCATACTCGGTCTTCCGGACGATGACGCGCCGGGGCTCCTGCACCACCGGGGCGTCGTTCTTCAGCCAGCGCACGCTGGGGGGCGGGTGGCCGGCCACCTTGCAGTGCAGGATCGCAGTCTGGCCCTGGACTATGGTGATATTGTTCACAGGCTCCAGAAAGCTCAGGAAGTAACCTGCAAAGCAGAGGCGCGAAGAGCACACTTCAGGAGGGCGGGAGGAGCGGGCGGCGGGCACGGGCGCTGTCCAGGAGAGCCCGGGAGCTGTGGCTTCTCTGCAGCGAGTTTCAGGACCGGCGGTAACTGCTCCACAGTGTGGCCCAGACACTGAGGCAGGGCACAGAGGCGCCGTGGGGACACCCGTGGTCGCACCATGCTCACCAGCCCACAGCACGTCCCCTCGCTTCAACCTGGGTTTCCGCCTAAAGACGCCGCCTTTAACTGATGCCGGTGGCTCGCCAGCGCTGAGCTCAGGCAGCAGCCGTGACCCCCCGGAAGGGAGCCCGTCTAACACACGCGCGGCCCCGTGAGGCAGCCCCAGCCTCCTCTCGGGAACGGCGCTCTCAGCACCATCAGCCAGTGCACTTTCAACAGTGAGGCACCGACACACGGCGTCCCGGGACCACAGGCCAGGAGCCCACGGGAGGCCGAGCGCCGCCCTCCCGCCCCTGCTGGGAACCGCGGCCAGGCCTCGCTCGGCCCGCTCGGGGCATGTCCGTGGCCGCCCAGCAGCGCGAGCATGGATGCGGGTCACAGGCGCTTTAGGCAGCAGGCGGACTTGCTAATACGAAGCCCACCAGCAATACAGACGGACTACGCTCTTCTCAAGCTCTAAGCCTAATCTAACCTCACTAATCTACGCTGTAAATTCATGCTCACAAAGTCCACCCTCCCTCTTGCCAACCAGAGAGACACCCTCAAAACGAAGCCGATCACTGGCCGAAACGGAACAGGACAGACAAGGCTGAGTGGAGCCCCGGCTCCGTCCACTGCACCCGGCTCGGAGGCAGGAAGCCGCGGGGCGCACACTCTACAGCGGGGGTGGGGAGCCTTTTCTGCCAAGAGCCATTGGATATTTATAACATCATTTGAGGACCATACAAAATTATCAACTTAAAAATTAGCTATGAAAAAAGCTCCTAGATTTATTGAATTTCGAGTCCTGCCCGCAGCTGCCTTGACAGGGCCAGACCCAAAGAATTAGCAGGCTGGAATTAGCAGGCTGAAACGGCGGCGAGGGGAAGCTGGCGGCCCTGTGAGAAGCAGCAGAGCACCCCGCTCCCGGCCAGACTCGATTTACTCCTAAAATCCCACGGAGCCAGCTGGAAAAAAACAGAGAAACATACCTGAGTGGGGAGCACTGAAGAAACATCAAGGAGTCCAGTAAAGGGGGGGCATAGAAAGCCCCCCCTGAAGCCTGTGCTGGGCTCCGAGCCCAGAGGCTTGGAGGCTGCAAAGCTCCCTCCCCTCGGGAGTGCAGACCCGCATCCAAAAGCGGGGATCCCACACCCTGAGAGGGGAAGGAGAGCCCCGTCGAGGGCAGAGGGACCCAGGGGAGCGGTGAGTCCCGGAGGNAGCGCTGAGCTCAGGCAGCAGCCGTGACCCCCCGGAAGGGAGCCCGTCTAACACACGCGCGGCCCCGTGAGGCAGCCCCAGCCTCCTCTCGGGAACGGCGCTCTCAGCACCATCAGCCAGTGCACTTTCAACAGTGAGGCACCGACACACGGGGTCCCGGGACCACAGGCCAGGAGCCCACGGGAGGCCGAGCGCCGCCCTCCCGCCCCTGCTGGGAACCGCGGCCAGGCCTCGCTCGGCCCGCTCGGGGCATGTCCGTGGCCGCCCAGCAGCGCGAGCATGGATGCGGGTCACAGGCGCTTTAGGCAGCAGGCGGACTTGCTAATACGAAGCCCACCAGCAATACAGACGGACTACGCTCTTCTCAAGCTCTAAGCCTAATCTAACCTCACTAATCTACGCTGTAAATTCATGCTCACAAAGTCCACCCTCCCTCTTGCCAACCAGAGAGACACCCTCAAAACGAAGCCGATCACTGGCCGAAACGGAACAGGACAGACAAGGCTGAGTGGAGCCCCGGCTCCGTCCACTGCACCCGGCTCGGAGGCAGGAAGCCGCGGGGCGCACACTCTACAGCGGGGGTGGGGAGCCTTTTCTGCCAAGAGCCATTGGATATTTATAACATCATTTGAGGACCATACAAAATTATCAACTTAAAAATTAGCTATGAAAAAAGCTCCTAGATTTATTGAATTTCGAGTCCTGCCCGCAGCTGCCTTGACAGGGCCAGACCCAAAGAATTAGCAGGCTGGAATTAGCAGGCTGAAACGGCGGCGAGGGGAAGCTGGCGGCCCTGTGAGAAGCAGCAGAGCACCCCGCTCCCGGCCAGACTCGATTTACTCCTAAAATCCCACGGAGCCAGCTGGAAAAAAACAGAGAAACATACCTGAGTGGGGAGCACTGAAGAAACATCAAGGAGTCCAGTAAAGGGGGGGCATAGAAAGCCCCCCCTGAAGCCTGTGCTGGGCTCCGAGCCCAGAGGCTTGGAGGCTGCAAAGCTCCCTCCCCTCGGGAGTGCAGACCCGCATCCAAAAGCGGGGATCCCACACCCTGAGAGGGGAAGGAGAGCCCCGTCGAGGGCAGAGGGACCCAGGGGAGCGGTGAGTCCCGGAGGGATCGGCACTTTCCCAGGAAACAAAGTATCTAGTGGTGGCTGCAACTGGCGTCTAGTGCTCGGGGTGCCGACCACAGGGAAGGCTGTCCCAAGGCCTGTGGCACCCGAGTGGTAAGGGACCAGAGGACTGTGCTGAGCACCCGCACGCGGGGACCCTCTGCCTCCCTGTGGGGCAGTGTGTTGAGCCCCAGAAAGCGCTGAATCCCCCTGGCGTGGGGGAGGGGAGGAGCCCTCCCACCCTGGGCTCCCAGTGCCAGAGGCGGGGATCTGTGACCAGCCCTGACGGTGTCCGCCCACCCTGGGCTCCGGGTGCTGAGAGGTGGGGATCTGTGACCAGCCCTGACGGTGTCCGCCCACCCTGGGCTCCGGGTGCTGAGAGGTGGGGATCTGTGACCAGCCCTGACGGTGTCCGCCCACCCTGGGCTCCGGGTGCTGAGAGGTGGGGATCTGTGACCAGCCCTGACGGTGTCCGCCCACCCTGGGCTCCGGGTGCTGAGAGGTGGGGATCTGTGACCAGCCCTGACGGTGTCCGCCCACCCTGGGCTCCGGGTGCTGAGAGGTGGGGATCTGTGACCAGCCCTGACGGTGTCCGCCCACCCTGGGCTCCGGGTGCTGAGAGGTGGGGATCTGTGACCAGCCCTGACGGTGTCCGCCCACCCTGGGCTCCGGGTGCTGAGAGGTGGGGATCTGTGACCAGCCCTGACGGTGTCCGCCCACCCTGGGCTCCGGGTGCTGAGAGGTGGGGATCTGTGACCAGCCCTGACGGTGTCCGCCCACCCTGGGCTCCGGGTGCTGAGAGGTGGGGATCTGTGACCAGCCCTGACGGTGTCCGCCCACCCTGGGCTCCGGGTGCTGAGAGGTGGGGATCTGTGACCAGCCCTGACGGTGTCCGCCCACCCTGGGCTCCGGGTGCTGAGAGGTGGGGATCTGTGACCAGCCCTGACGGTGTCCTCCCACCCTGGGCTCCGGGTGCTGAGGTGGGGATCTGTGATCGGCCCTGAGGGGCCCGTGGTGGTGCGTGGAGCCACCCCAGCTTTGCTGAGACCAGCGGTGCAGGGAGCTGCGTGGAGCTAACTTTGGGTCCCCTCTCGCTGGGGGCCTTGGCGAGTGGGTGGCGGGACCTTGCAGGGCAGACTCTCTGCCTGTGTGTTGCTTTGTGCATTTGCCAGTTTGATCTCGGAAGTGCCTCCCACCTTCCCCGCCGGCACTGGGGGACAGACCAGCAGAGGCTGCCATTGGGGTCTGCGCAGGGGACGGTCAGACGGGACTGGTGCGACCAGCCAACCAGAGCTGAGCAGGGAGGGGCGGAGCCAGCCGGCCTCTCCTGCAGCGGAGAGCACCACCCCCAGCAGGAAAGGGGCGGGTCCGCTCACTGAGGGCCAGGCGCCCCGCAGGGCACAGTCCTGAGGGGGAAGGGAGAGCAGCTCACAGGAGGACGTCACAAGAACAAGACCCTCAGGGACTGTGGTTTGGGAACTGGAGGAAACACTGAAAACCCTG